CATATAGAATAGACGTAAATTTACTTCAACGCGTATAGAGGATGACTAAGTTAATCCGAGGCATTAGAAACCTTCGTATGAAATGCAGGAAAGTTTAACTTACAATATCTAGAAAGAAGATGACTGAGGGATAACATGATTTAAGAATATAAATGAATAAAATGGATATAAATATGGTCTTAAATATATAATTGAATATGGCAGCATATTCTATCAATATATAAATATATAATTGAATATGACAGCATCTTCTCGTTTAGGGCTTCTATCTCTCTAACTAGTATTCTTGCATCAGAGTTAAGGTGGAAGAAGAGTTCTTCAAATGTCATGTCCGTTTTTCGAGGTGAAGAAAAATAAATAACTGTAGAGTGTATTACACTTATTATTAAATTACGGGCACTGCCACCTTGATGGCCAGTGTTCGAGTCCCCTCGTGGGTTGAGTGTCTAAAAAGTTATAAACTTCAACGTGTGGTTATAAGCAAGTCTGTGTATATAATATATATATATATATATATATATATATATATATATACAATAGACCTGGGTAAATACTGGTTTGAAAACCAGGTTATTAATTACGGAAAAATTACTGGGTTACATAAAGAGACGACGAGTCACAATAACGTGGCTGAAGATATGATGACGAAACCACACATCAGAAGATGTAGAGACGACGACGCTTCGGACCGTCCAGGACCATTATCAACTTATATGTGGGTAACATACGACTTAATATGTCGTATGTTGAGGTCACTATCGTATGTGAGTAACATAAATATGTATTTGGTGGATTGTTTTAAGTGCAGGTTAGTGTCCTTAGTGTGTGTGGGTGCGGGGGTGTGGGGATTGGGGGTGTGGGGGTGTTTGGGTGTGGAGGTGTAGGGGGTGTTAGTGTGTGTGGGTGTTGGGGTGTGGAGGTGTGGGGGTGTGGGGGGAGTGAGGGTGTGGGGGTGCGGAGGTTTGGGGGTCTGGGTGTGGGGGTGGAGGTGTGTGGGTGTGGGTGTGTGTGGGTGTGGGGGTGTGTGGGTGTGGGGTGGGGAGGTGTGTTGGTTTGGGGGTGTGTAGGGGTGGGAGTGTGGGGGTGTGTGGGTGTGGGGGTGCGTGGTGTGTGAGGGTGTAGCGGTGTGTGGATGTGGGGGGGTGTGTGGGTGTGTGGGGGTGTGAAGGTGTGGGGGTGTGTGGGTTTGTGGGTGTGGTGGTCTGGGGGTGTGTGGGTGTCTGGGTGTGTGGAGGTGGGGGTGGGGGAGGGGGGTGTGGGGGGGGGGTGTGGGAGTGGGGGTGTGGGGGTGTGAGGTTGTGGGGGTGTGGGGGTTTGTGGGTGTGGTGGTCTGGGGTGTGTGTTGGTGTGGGGGGTGTGTGGGTGTAGGGGTGTCTGGTGTGTGTGGGGTTTGGGGTGTGTGGGTGTGGGGATGCGGAGATGTGGGGGTGTGGGGGGGTGTGGGTGTGTGGGTGCGGAGGTGTGGGGGTGTGGGGGTGTGGGAGTGCGGAGGTGTGGGGGGGTGTGGGTGTGGGGGTGTGGGTGGTGGAGGTGCGAAGGTATGGAGGTGTGTAAGTGTGGGGTACGGAGGGATGTGGGTGTGGGGGGGTACGGAGGTGTGGGTGTGTGGGGGTGTAAGGGTATTGTTGGTGTGGGGGTTTGGAGGTGTGTGGGTGTTGGTGTGGGGGGGTGTGGGTGTAGGTGTGGGGGGTCAGGAGGTGTGGGGTGTGGGGGTGTGGTGGGTGTGCTCACCTAATTGTGCTTGCGGGGGTTGAGCTTTGGCTCTTTGGTCCCGCCTCTCAACTGTCAATCAACTGGTGTACAGATTCCTGAGCCTACTGGGCTCTATCATATCTACATTTGAAACACTGTATGGAGTCAGCCTCCACCACATCACTGCCTAAAGCATTCCATTTATTAACTACTCTGACACTGAAAAAATCTTTCTAACGTCTCTGTGGCTCATCTGGGTACTAAGTTTCCACCTGTGTCCCCTTGTTCGTTTCCCACCCGTGCTGAAGAGTTTGTCTTTGTCCACCCTGTCAATTCCCCTGAGAATTTTGTAGGTGGTTATCATGTCTCCCTTACTCTTCTGTTTTCCAGGGATGTGAGGTTCAGCTCCTTTAGCCTTTCTTCGTAGCCCAATCCTCTCAGTTCCGGGACGAGCCTGGTGGCATACCGCTGAATCTACTCTAACTGTCTTGTATTTAACTAGTTATGGACTCCAGGCTGGAGTTGCATATGCTGCGTGGGTGTAAAGGTGTGGGGGTGTGAGGGTGTGTGGGTGTGTGGATGTAACACTGTAAAAGTGTTTGATTTAGTTGTATTTAATACATACATAGAGTACATGAGTCACAGACAGGGATTTGAGAAGGCGCCAAGTTGTCGGCCGGAGTTTCACACCTCTAAGAGTTAATGACCTCAAGTGACCTGAGGTCAGATCATGCGAATTTCACCTTACTTCTACTAATCTTATAATTGGAGCCTGGTAGCCTTCAAACATGCCGACGTTTAAGGAGTGGCTTGGTAGAGAGCCGGAGGTTATCTACTTGTTGGCGGAGGTAGCTACTAGGTTCCCCAATATATACTCGGAGAGCTATCGATTCGAGAGCATTAATGAGACAGAGAAGAACGGCAGTCAGCAGAGCAGAGAAGACGGCCCTAGCAGGGAGGCTGTCGGCCGGCAGGGCGGGACAGTCTCTGCTCAACTATAGACCCCCCCCCTCTATCCAGCTATAGGCAGACACTTGGTGAGTTGAAACATTAAGGTGACTTGGTCGTGTTTTACAAGTGTTGTGTGATGATCAGGGGCAGTCAGTTGTAGTGTTCTCAGATTCTTGGAGGATGCCTCACTTTACCTATATAAATCTTGAACATGGCTTAAAGTATAATACTTAGTATGTGAAATATAATTGAATTTATTATTTAAATTGTCTTTGTTCCCTAGAGTTTTGAGTTGAGGTGAGAAGCCTCTGGGATTACTGGTTCCATGATTTTTACTGAGTACATGATAAAGATGGGACTACTAATAATGACCTTGATAACATCTTTGAGAATTTTGTGATACAGACAGTTCCATTCCTTGTCTTGTATGTAATGATCATGAATGGATGGTGGCAGCATTTCGTCTTCTACTATCTACCCTCTACTTCTACTATCTACTCTTCTACTTCTACCTATCACATCTCTCCCTCCACCCCTCTCCAAACTCTCACTTTCAACTAATGACCCTCCTCGCTCCTCCCACCTCCCTACCTCTCACCCCCAAACCCTCACTAATTACTTCACTATTCATTCTTTCCTTTCGTTTCCTCTTATACGTTTGTGGCAGTGAAATGTATTCTAGAGTTCTCTCTAGAGTTTCGGGTACCTGATCAAGTTACGGCGCCTTGTAGTCTTAGCACCTAGGTAGTCAAATACCTAGGTTACAAGGTGTTGAACGAGAGAGGTTGCCTTAGGAACTTTGGAGGTGCTCTAGAATAGTTAGCTAACTGAGGACGGGATAACGGACTAGAGAGAGCTGTTTCCCCCGGCCTCGTTAGTTAACTGGGGGGGGTGGAATAATGGACAAGATAGAGCTATTTCCCGCAGCCCCCGTTACATGGGCGTGTGTGGGTGTGGGGGTGTGGGGGTGTGGAGGTGTGTGGGTGTGGCGGTGTGGAGGTGTGGCTGTGTGTGGGTGTGGGGGTGTGGAGGTGTAGGGGTGTGTGGGTGTGGGGGGGTGTGTGGATGTGGAGGTGTGGGCGTGTGTGGGTGGGGGTGTGGGAGTGTGTGGGTGTGGGGATGCGGAGGTGTGGGGGTGTGGGGGGGTGTAGGTGTGGATGTGCGGAGGGTGAGGGGTGTGGGGGGTGTGGGTGTGGGGGTGCGGAGGTGTTAGGGGTGTGTTGGTGTGGGTGTGTGTGGGTGTGGAGGTGTGGGGGTGTGGGGGTGTTGGGGTGCGGAGGTGTGTGGGTGTGGGGTGTGCGGAGGTGTGGGTTGTGTGTGGTGTGTGAGGGTGTGTGAGGGTGTGGGTGTAGGGGTGTGGGGTGTGGGGGTTTGGAGGTGTGTGGGTGTGGGGGTGTGTGGGTGTAGGTGTGGGGGTCAGGAGGTGTGGGGGTGTGTGGGTGTGGGGGTTTGGGGGGTGTAGAGTTGTGTGGGTGTGGGGGTGTGGAGGTGTGAGGGTGTGGGGGTGTGGGGGTGTAAAGGTGTGTGTGGGTGTGGGGGTGTGTGTGTGTCGGGGGTTGTGGGTTGTGGGTGTGTGGGGGTATGTGGGTGTGTGGGCGTGTGTGGGTGTGGGGGTGTGGAGGTGTGGCTGTGTGGAGGGTGTGGCTGTGTGTGGGTGTGGAAGTGCAGGGGTGTGTAGGTGTGGGGGTGTGGGGATGTGGAGGTGTGGGATGGGTAGGTGTGGGGTTGTGGGGGTGTGGGGGTGTGTAGGTGTGGGGGTGTGGGCGTGTGTGGGTGGGGGTGTGGTGTGGGGGAGTGTGGGAGGGTGGGGGTTTGTGGGGGTGTGGGGGTGTGTGGTGTGTGTGGGTGTGGGGGGGTTGGGTGAGGGGATGTGTGGGTGTGGGGTGTGGAGGTGTGGGGGGTTGTGGGGTGAAGAGGTGTGGGTATGTAGGGGTGAGTGGGGTTGTGGGTGTGGGGGTGTGTGGGTGTGGGGGTGTGGGGGAGTGTGGGGAGTGAGAGGTGTGAGGGGTGGAGGTGTGGGGATGGGGGGTGTGGGTGTGGGGGTATGAGGGTGTGGGGTGTGGGGGTGTGTGTGTGGTTTGAGGGTGTGGGGGTGTGTGGTGGTGTGTGAGGGTGTCGGGTGTGTGTGGTGGTGAAGGTGGTGTGGGTGTGTGGGGGTGTGGTGGGTGTGGGGGGTGTGGGAAGGTGTGGGTGTGGGGGTGGGGGAGGTGTCGGGTGTGTTGGGTGTGTGGAGGTGTGGGGGTGTGGGGATGGGGGTGTGTGTGGGGTGTGGGGGTATGAGGGTGTGGGGGTGTGTGTGTGGGTGTGAGGGTGTGGGGGTGTGTGGGTGTGGAGGACACTTGAGGGCGTCACTTTACACTTAAGGGCTGGGCTAGACACTTGAGAGCGGCACAGGACACTTGAGGGCGGCACTGGACACTTAAGGGCGGCACTGGACACTTGAGGCCG